GAAGACAAAAAAATAGATTTATATTGTTTCTTAGTTTCTCAAATCAATTTTCATTTACTATGAAAATCATGCTAAAAATTTTATGCTATGGAAAAACAAACAATGACTTGAACATGGAATGCAATGTTGATAGTGGTGTGGTAATTTATAGTGAATATATGACACAACTACAATAGTCTTGAATTAATTTCGATTTTTTTTTCTGTCAGAGAGATTATTACAAGAAAATCGCTGAGTTTTAAAACAAGAGACTGTACGTTTTTGGAGTTCAGCAATTCAAATCCATAGAAAGTTGGTCGAAACCTTCGAGTACGATTTTATCACCCGAGAACGACTTAGTGATGTTTTGCAAAACTGAACTGCTTTTTTTTTGAAATAAATCTCCTTCGATTGAAAAAGTAGGTATAAATACATAGGGTTTTTGATATTTGTTTAGGAAACCATGTCATAAACTTGAACTTTCTAATTTCTAAAAATTACTCGTTATTCTTGATATTTAAGTACAGTAGACCAACGAGTTTTATACTTCAAAATATTTTTCAAAATTTTGAATTATTCAAACGTCTTATCTATTTCTGTCACATAAACAATATCCAAGAAAAATAAACATTTTTCTTTTAATTAGATTAAAGTTTTCATTATACACATATATATATATATGTATATTTATTTCGATAAACTAAATTTAAAAAATATCGGTGACATCATAAATGGTAATAGTTTTTTATAAGTTACATTCTTAAACATTTGTGCATCAATCTTTGGTGTTATATTCATAGGACAATTGGCTTTCTTTTTATCCAATTACTTATAAAATCTTCTTTAATAATATCGTTTGATATTGTTATTGATAATAATGTTCATAAAATTAATGGTAAATAGTTAGATAATAATTGTGTATTTAATATTTATTCATCAAGTATTAACATCATCTCAGTTTAGCGATAAACAATTGATTCAGATAAACTTAATACAGATATATAGGGTAATGTAAGAAATTTTTGAACTCGGACGTAAGTGAGGATGTAATAAGAAGGCAAATAGCCATACCCACACACTCATAAATTATGAAATTTTGTACTAATGAAAAATTGGATTAATAAATAGTTATCTGACAAATAGAATATTAATTTAAACATTCGTATTGATTTATCGATGTATCGAGTATGACTTATTATAAATAAAATCTTTCTTTTTAATGTTTTGATTGATCTATTTAGAATAATTTTCCATCATCAAGTCCTGAATGAATGCAAGAATTTAAAATCTACTGTTGATCTTCTTACATCAATAACATTCTTTCGTATGAAGGTAAAATTTTTTTTTATATTGAAAAACAGTTTAACTGCGAAAAATAAAAAAAAAAAATAGTTCAAAATATTTGAAATACTTCTTAGAATGGGATAGATATTCCTTTTCAAATGTCACTTAATAATGAAGTAGGTTTGAGCATGGTTTGCTTATTTTATTTTTCACCTGGTTTGATTCATTTATTTTTGCATATCCATTAAACTATTTAGTAAATTATATATTTAATAAAATTTTAAGTTTATTTCTAAAATAATTTTAGGTTCAAGAATTAAGTATCTCCATCTTGTACATCAAGTTTTGTTAAAGATTGTGTTCGTCATACATATGATTTCTTAGTTGCTAATTGTGATGAAGTTTATAAATGCGAATCGAAACAACACAAGGAACAACAACGAATGCTATTGGACTAAATCTTAAAAGTTTACAGTTTTGGAATCATTTTATGTATTTATTAACACGTATTATTAATGAAGATCGAGAAAGATATAGTTCAGTTTTAAATCAGTAAGTCTTTCTTTGTTTTTATTAAATAATATACCTATTGTCAGAGCTGGGCAAGTCAAGTCAAGTCTGACTTGACTTGACTTGACTTGTGACTTGAGAAACCTTCAACTTGCCCAGCTCTGCCTATTGTTATTATTTAGATTTCCGTCGGAAATAAATGTTGGTCATATAAGTGCAGAAACTTTAAGGAAATTATTTTCAGCTAATCTTTTAGAACATTTAGAAGGTAATTTTTGTTAAATTTCGATAAATAAAATAGAATAGTTATTGAATCTATTTATACATTTACTACAATTGCTAATCATCAAATGAAAAAAAAACTTACCATGCGACTTCATAAATTTTGTTGCTCGATTTGGACGTACATCTATCATTGATTACGTACACAGTTTTTGTGACATACAATGGGCTATTTAATTTCAATCTGAATTTATCAAATAAAAATAAGACTTTATTTCAAACTGAAACGTGAGTCTAGGAGTGAGGGGGGTGGGTGACTGAGGGTGTGGGTGTTGGTCTGGGACCCACACACACACCCACACCCATGGTGCGGGTGTGGGCGCGCGGGTGAGGGTGAGGGTGTGCGTGGGGTGTTGTGTACTATAGG